CAGTATGCTCCACATGGGAGTCTATGTCATCATCTGTAGGAAAGCTGCCAAGTCTGCCTGGATATTCCTCTGGTACTTCAGATCAGCACGGCAAGTGTCCGAAACCTTTGATGAGCCCCCAAGGAAAGATATTACCAACATTCACGTACGGTTACTCCTGCTAGAGGAGAGTATTGGGATCGTCTGCGCTCAGCTGTTCCTCGATCTCCACGGACACTCGCAGAAGATGAATGTTTCCTTCTATGGTTGTGGTGTGTCCAACATCGCGTGCGCTGTCTATCCTAAACTGGCGTCCAAGGCTACTGAGGATGTCTCCTTTGAGTCGTCGCGATGGAAGTTCGCGAAAGCCCAGTTGAAAACGGCGCGGTCTGTCGCCTACCGCCGATTCGGCGTCATAAACAGCTATACTGTCGAATGCAGCTTCTACGGCTCGGACTGTGCCTCTCCGCCCTACGTGGCAGAGTTTGATCAGACGCGCCTTGCCAGCATCGGAGCAGCCCTAGGGCGAGCGATGGCTGCATACTTCCAAGTACCCGTCGATCATCGACTGGATCCTGTGGCTGTCGGCTGCGAGTGGCTGCACTTCGAAGACTTAGCAGGGGTCTCGCCACAAGCCCTGTTGGATGAGCTACGATTGGTCGCCGCAACAGTGCACGACCTGCCGTCTTCGCTCGCCGGTGATGAGCCCACGGCCAATAGTGATTCTGAGGACGATGAACCAGCCAAGAACACGGCCGTAATGCCGAGAGTTCCGAGCGAGCGGCCGAAGAGAATCGTTGGATCGCGTTTGTCTATCCCGTTGAGGCCTCGAGCTCGGTCTACCCTGCCACCGTTGGTTGGAACTCAGTTCGCTAATGGGCGTTCCCGAGCTGTTCGAGAATCGCAACAGAGCAATAAGTTCCTCTCTGGTCGAAAGGGCTTTCTGCAAGGGCCGGTTGGGCCGGCATTGGCGAGAGAACAGAATGCACAGCCCAAGACAAGGAGACGACGTGGCTCTAGGGACTCGGGCCCTAGTGGTGCCATGAACCTTGCCAATGGCATCTCCTCTCGCAAGTCGTACGTTGCTGCCGTACTGAGTGAAGTCAAAGCATCGCCACGGAGAGCATCACAGTCGAAGGGAAGTAAGCAGCAATGATGGAGCGGATGATTATACGTGTTCATATGAATGGTTCGTTAGATAAAACTCCACGAGCAAGTCGCAAGGCACGACAGAGAAGTGATCGGTCTTCGCCGCGGGGGGCATCACGTGCACGCATTGAAGAGAGGCCCCACAAGAACACGCCTCGCAAGGAGAGGTGATTATAGTGAATTACACTTTAAAAGCAGCTATCATGATGCAAGGATTGTCCATGCCCGTAGATTGTGCTTTTCGTTTGCCGCTGACCTGTTGAGTGAGAGGGTCGGCCGACTAATCTATGTAACAGATTGAGTGCTGGGAACTTGCGAACGCAACTACTGTATTCTAGGGTCGTTGTCGCGTACATGCTGTATGAATGAAGGTATTCATGTCATCACTGAAATGACTATCGCACGTGTCCACCACTAGTAGCGTTATGTGTAGGACTTCAATGATAATGTAATCACTTATTCAACTATTGTTTCATTATTTTCTCCTTGGTCAGTGTTTGTTTCAACTTGAGCATTTTCCGCGGACTTTGTTTCTTGAGCGTCTTTTTTTGCTTCTTCGCGCGCCTTTTGGACGAAGCTTTGGGCGTCGTTGAAGGCCTGGAAGGGAGGAAACAGATTTCAAGAACATTTTCAACGTTCAGACTGACCGTTCTGAACACAGATCATGCAGTTAAAAATGAGAGTACGGTGAGTCTACATGAAAACGTGTCGAGAGAAAGACGAGGTCGAAATTTCTCATCTATCGAGATCGGGACTTACCGCTAGTATCTTCTTCCTCAGACGCTTGCTCGCGACGGCTATCAATTTCTCGTCGTCTTCGGTCCATCCTGGAGCCAGAAGCTCTTCTACCTATGAGACACAACGATGAAATCATCCCGTTCGATAATAAGCTAGACCACAGTTCGAGTGAGCAAAAAAGTTAATGTGAGATTTTCGAGGAGTCAGATGGCAAGTGTCGAGTGAGTTGGGTCATACCCGTTCGATCAACTCTCTTCGTTCCCTGAGGTACTTCCGAGCACTATAGCTCGCTGGATCAATCGATCTGATCTCATCCGCAACGCTTAGTCTGTCATCTTCGAACGCTGAAGTTACCCCAAGGACAAAATAGAAGATACGAAGTTTCCGACTCACCGTCAAAGCTGATCTTTTTTTCTGAAGTTTTTTCTTTCGAATCAGTTTTCGAATCGTCATCATTTTTTGCTGCTGCACTGAATCTGTTGGATCCAATTCTCCCGTGTCACATGTCTGTGAAGGAGCGGCTCACATGATCCTTTTTGTTGGAGGGTGTCTCTTGCGAGCTGGCCCATGGTCGCCCATACGTTAGTTACTCAACGAGTGAAAGCTGTTCGTCATGAACATTTGCTCTGAATGATACGACACGTTTATTATCGCACCGCGGACACCTTCTAGTAGGATACTTAGGGAGCACGAACGCGCGAGTCAGCAAGACGTCTAGTTAGGAAGCCCGATAGAGCACTTGTATTATTTGCAAAGTACGAACGGAACATGCGACAGATTATGAAGGCATTTCTAGTCTCCTGCTCCTTTCGACAGGTCGAGACAGAGTTTCTGACTATGGTAGATAACGTTTGGGGCCCACCACACTTTCGGCGCCTATCGTGAAAAACGATCAATTTCTGGCTAACTATCATTCCTGCCCAACAACGCTGTCCCACTCCTGGTATGTCTCAGCGTGGGAGAATCAAACTGACCTCCGCCCCTAAGTAGCGATAATTTTATCCCCTGCTCATTCACAGTCAATGACCTCATAATACTCCCATGTAAACCCTGGGTTCCATCAGAAATCGTTTCTCCTCGGAAAACAGAATTATACACCCACGGGGGAGAATATACAACCACCGAGTGAGTCGTATATCAACCAGTCGGAGCCCAAGCAGATTCGGACGAAAACGTCACGCATATATAACACCATATAGGAAGCTTAGGCTTCTGAGTTTCGAAAGCGCTCCAGAGTTTTACATGTAAAATCCAATCCTAGGGGCGCTTAATTTTTCTGAGTGGAAACAGAATTATACACGTTAGCGCCCCGTTATCCTAGGGGCGCCTATTGAGCTCAAGAGAGGTCTACGGATCACCTCGGATGATCCAAGTCACATCTGGAATTATGAAACGCATTTTCAATTCTCGGGCGACCTTTGGGCGGGCGAGATTTCAACAGAAAGTATCTGCGCAGTGTGTATGATGATGGTCGTTCGTCAACTATGCGGTTCTTAACTTCACTGGTAATCTTAGCATGGGCAACTGCTGCCTCTCGCGAAGAGGTGACTCATAAGGAGAACGTCTCGATGAGGGAAGCCGCCAAATGTATGGAGACCTCTTCCCTGCATTTTACCTGGCAGTAGTGTTACTTCGCTGATCAGATGTGAAGTCACCTCGCGCTCACAAATTGGCCAACAGCACCGACCAGGATTTCCATAGGGTATTCGGATCCGTCCAAAGTGCCTGGCAAAGGCACTCAGGCACGGGAATGCGAACGATGTAATGATAAAAAGGAGGGAGGAGGGATCGAACCTGCGTCCTACCAGATCCTTGTCGTCTCTGGCCGAGAACTCGGACAAGGTGCAAGAATGGCTCTCACTCCGGGAAGGGAGCGCGGCTGATCGTGGATCGCAGGAGTTGTGATACCACAAGGCTTGTTGAGCATTTCTGTATTGATTCAAGTCGTTGTGTTACCTTCGACAAGGGAGCGTCTCAAGTTTGTATCAGTTTGTATCAACAGCTTTTTCTTGGGATCCTGGAAGCCCGCACGAAAATTTCCGGATCCTCGAGCAACTAGACTATGGAGGAAAGCTCGTATATGGCTCCGGGCATCTGCTGGAGCACCTCTGCTGAATTTGTCGTTGGATTGGGTTTTACCGGTGATATGAAAAACACCAGTGTAAAACATATTCCACAACTGACCTCGCGGAAAACGATTGCGTTATCGGTCGCGGGAACCTACACGTCAAGTTGCTTACATGGAGTCTTACGCCACTTCAAGTTGGACAGGTAGAACTCCAATGTAACTCATCACTTCTTTGAAATCATCGTATTAGGAAGATCGCCACTGTCTTCAGTTCGGCGATCGTAATGATCATGAATATCGAGATGGCTGTACTCTCGAGAGGCAACCGTACAGGCTACTTTTTACTCGGCATTGACGTGAAGAGTGATGAATTCGAACGCACGAGCTTTCATGTTCGGTCTCCTTCACGAAATGTGTCTTATTGTTGGTAATTAGTTGTTGATTTGGTGTTCGTTGCTGGTTTTGGTAGTATGTTATTGACGATATTTCCATCGGTGTCTTCACCTGGACGGACCGCGGTACGGCAGATAGTGGCGCCTTTTGCCACTTGGAATAAGAAGAGAACTAAGAAGGGTACTAGTGAGGGCCACAGATAATTATGGTATAATAGAGATCGAGCATTGAAAAATAATTTCCCATTGTTATACACTATGCATTTTGGTAATATATGTGTTCAACGTGGCTCTATATTGTACTTATGAATGTGAAGTGTTTTTCTTTTTCTATTGAGGAGCACTCATATATGAATTGACATTTACGCGAGAGCTCGCAAAATGGCATTTCTTATTTTCTTTTTGGCTCAAAGACGTCGCAACGTGAACTTTTTTCACATAGTCTCTCGAGATACACACTTGTTCGAGTGCCAGCATGTAGAGTACTCGATTTTCAACTCGTTAATTCATGTATAAAATAAATCACGGTATGAGGTCGCGCGCTCAGACTACCGATGGGAGGTCGCCGCCCTCTTACTTTTGTGAGCCTACAATTTCAAAGGTATAATTTCTGTAGTTGTGGCGAGCTCAAGAAAATATAGGATGCCCTCTACCGAGATCTTGAACTCTTTTTTCATTATACCCCATTCTAGTTCGATTGCGTGTGACCTCGAAGGAAGATGGCGACCTCATGCGTTTTGACCGAAGGTTGTTTCTTACTCATAACCTTGTTGGTCGGGTACTTACTGCTGGTTCCCTATTGGTAGCATGTGTAGTGTTGGTCGTATAATTTTTCAATGTTCATGTTTTCTGGTTTCCGTGATATACTTTGGCGTCTACTGCGGCGCATTTTATTGGTCCTCTGAATAGGTCAATGGAGCAAGATGTTCATCCGAGTAGGAGAGTCTCTGTTTCGGGTAGTAGCATTGAGTAGGAAGTGACGGAGTTATGGTATCATCTAGGTTCGGAACCATGAGATAGCATACAGGACGGTACTCGGCTTGCCATACCCACAGCAGGAATTGGACCGGCTGAAACAAAGGGATACGCATTATGTATAATGGCACTCTGGGGGTTCTCTCACGTGGTGGGCAGTTTCCTTATTTTTAGATGGAAAAGTGGAAGAAATTGAAAAAAGGTAAACCCGCGAACAGCCCAAGATGGGCGAAGTCTTTGTCATGAGTTGTTTCTGAGGGTGAAGGAGTTGTTGAGTTGGGCCGATAAAGAGATTATTTATTGAGCAAGTTAGTTGATTCTATTACAATGATTGGTCCTAGGCATCCTGCTCGAGGAGATATGCGGGGGAATTCGAAACTGACGATGAACCCTCATCGGGGTACTTCTAGATTATGGGAGGAGGAAAGCTTTTCTAGAGTGACATCAACGCTGTAAATGCACGAAAGACTATTTTATGAATGAAAATTGATGAGACTGAGAAGCAAAAGGTGCTGTGGGGAAGCTCTCTATTTCCCATGTATTCAGTGTCGTATAGGGCTTTGTTCCGCTTAGTCATCGTTCGATCTTGCTGCTCTTCATCCGGTCCGGTACATTCGGAAGAAAAGCCGTTGATAGCGTCGAGAAATAGTCGGGCGTTGGAATGTGTAAAATTGAAATGGAGAGGAAGG